GACGATGACGGCGACGACAACGACGACGACGACGACGACGACGACGACGACGATGGCGACGACGACAACGACGACAACGGCGGAAAACGACGACGACGACGACGACGCCGACGACGCCAACATCGACGAAGAACGACGACGAAGACGACGACGACGACGACGACGAAGACGACGACGACGACGACGAAGGCGACGACGACGATGACGGCGACGACAACGACGACGACGACGACGACGACGACGACGCCGACGACGACAACGACGACGACGACGACGACGACGACGACGACGACGACGACGACAACGACGCCGACGCCGACGCCGACGCCGACGCCGACGCCGACGCCGACGCCGACGAGGACGTCGACGCTCACGACGACGCCGACTTCGACGCCGACGCCAACGCCGACGCCGACGCCGACGCCGACGATGGCGCCGACTCCGACGCCGACGCCGACGCCGACGACGACGCTAGCGCCGACGCCGACGACGACGACGACGACGACGACGACGACGACGACGACGACGACAACGACCACTTTTGTCGGCACGTCCAACCCTCACCACGCCACGCCCACAGGGCCACGACCTCGGGGGAGGGGGGCATCGCGCGGAGGAGTGGGCCGAAGGCATCAGCATGAGGCAAAAGGGGGGCCTGGAGCCCTGGATCATATCGGCCGGCCCCCCTGGTGGGGCCACCAGGCTGCGGGAGTTAGGCATGTTGCTCCCTGCTCAAGCTCCAGTTGCAAATCCCCCATGTTATAGTCCTACTTTCTCCTTCCGACTGTATATGGTTGAAGTCCGCCAAATCGTATTGCCGAAATACCTGCGGGGCCCTGGAAAACTTGCGACTCGCGCTTCCGAAGCTACGATCCCCAGCAAATTACACCAGATTCGAGTCCCCGAAGCCACCATCCCTCGTAAGTTACGCTATCTTCGCGTCGCCGAGGCCACGGGCCGTCCCCGAGGCCACCATCCCTTTCGAATTACCTGTACTCACGTCCCCGAGGTCACGATCCTCAATGTAAATTACATCATTTACGCGCCCAGAGGTCACGATCCCCTGTTAATTACTTTACAATCGCGTCCCCGAGGACAAGATCCCCCGTAAATTATACGATGCTCGCGTCCCTGAGGCCACTAACTCTTGTAAATTACTTTATATCCGCGTCCCCGAGGCCACGATCGCTCGCAAATTGCACCGCAGTCGCGCCCCTGAGACCAAGGTCGCTCGTAAATGGCGCCATGTCCGTCCCTGAGACCACGATCCCTCGTAAGTTATGACGCTCGTAAATTTCTTAATCTTCGCGTCGCCGAGGCCATGGACCCTGGCAAATTATACAGTTTTCGCGTTCCCGAGGCCACGACCCCTGGCAAATTACCCTATATTCACGTCCCCGAAACCATGATCCCGCGAACATTACGCCATGGTCGCGTCCCCGAGGACACGATCCTATTCTCTGCAAATGAAACAATATGGACCTTTCCGAGGCCACGACCCTTGTAGAGTACGCTATATTCGCGTTTCCGAAGCTACGATCCTGAGCAAACTATGCAATAGTCCCGTCCCCGAGCCCACGATCCCTAGTAAATTAAATCATGTTCGCGTGTGCCTTCGGTAGAGTCCCCTATGGGGCCACGAAACGTGCGAAGGGTATGGTGAAACCGGTGCGGCGCACGCATGCGAATCGGGCACTTGCGTACTCTTTCGGTACGCTCCTCACGCGTTTCGTGACCCCATGCAAATGCGTCACGCAAAACTGCATATGGGTTGGCTCCTCGTCAAGTTCATGTTCCACTCGTTCTGAGGCTGCCTAGGGGCGGGCAAGTCTTGAACCCGCCCAACAGCGGCATCTAGACCACTATCTCCCACGTACACAATGTCCAAGGGATTGAGATCGATGATGCATGTCCGCGGGGCTTGCATGCACATCAACAGATACTGCTGAAGAATGCGCAAATTACCCAATAATGGCGTCCCCGAGGCCACTACCCCTGGAAAATTGCACCATGCTCGCGCTCCCCGATATCGAATGAATTACGCTGTGCTCGCGCCACCGAAGCAACGATTTTCATTAAATTGCGCCATGGTCGCGTCCCCGAAGCCACGGTCCCTTGCAAAAAAACGGTGGGGAGCCCAAAAACCGTCCAAGCCGCACGATTTTGCCCAACAGGACGTCGTCGTCGTCGTAGTCGTCCTCGTCGTCGTTGTCGTCGTCGTCGTGGTCGTCGTCGTCCTCCTCCTCGTCGTCATCTTCTCCGTCGTCGTCGTCAAATCTTCATACCTCAAGAACGATTATTGTCGGTCCCCTCTGGGCGGTAACACATGTGTGTTTCAATTGAAGTACCCCTCCCAGGCCTCGCACCCTGTCTTTCACATAGGCAACAGTATTGGGCCTCAAACTGTCTTGTTGACCCCCCTTCTCACAACAACGACTCCTGCCTGATACTTCCTCACAAATCCCCCGAGACCCCCGTGCAATCTATCCACGGATGGCACGCTCGCTTGAGAATTTCTTTACTTTGTTGTTAAGCCGCTCTATCGGCGCTCTGGAATCACGCTCTCGCTCAGAACGTCTTCAGAAGTTACTTAGGAACCGCGCTCTCGCCTGAGACTTCCTGGCTATCCCCTCTTGCTGGTCCCTCTTGCTAATCCCTCTGGTCCTTTATAGTATCCCTCCCTACCTCTTGCCCCCTTCCCTCCACCAGCCCTTCCTCCACTCCCTTCTACCTCGCTCCCCCTGTTCCATCATTAATGTTCTTCCCTGTGTAGAGCTACGCCAATTACACGTGACAGGGAGGAAGATGTACCCCAAAGGGGGGCGCGATCAAAGACGAAGAGAGCGGCTACGGAGGGTTCGGGAGATACAGATTGAATGGCACGCAATCATATGAAAACAAATGATAATAGAATATGTGTTCTTGTTTCGTCGTCGCCGAAAAAGTGGGTCCCGCTTATTGCCTTGACGAGCGTCTCCCCGTCTCCGCCCTCTTTTCGCCCTAGTGCACTTTAGTAAGTCCGTGGTCTGTGGAAAAGTTGCTTCGCCTAACGCAGTAACCATCGCGAAGTCTGCTGCTCGGTTTCTTCTGCGGGGTTGGGAGCCCACTCCGTTTGTGCTCTCCACAGGGTGCGACAAGGATTCCCCAAGAAACTTGTTTAACACTACACAGCATCGCACATTCTCTGTGGCACGGATCTCTCTCCCTGTTTACCCCCAGACATTCCTAGCTTCATCTAGAGCCCCCTCGAATTCCTACCTGCGTGTGTTATTTTACTTGTGCGTTTGTGCAGCACACCAGAGGATTTGTTAACCGCGTGTTCGGCCGCCGTCGACGTTTGGCGAGAGCCCCACCACGACACAACAAAGTGTGGCCCTTGGCTTGAGCCATTTTGGCTCAAGCCAGGATTTGCCCCGACAGTTTTTGCCACTTGGGATCTTCTACTGCCTTCCGCTGCCTTCCGCGCCTCAGCCATGGCCGCAATTGAGGCGGTTTTGGCGCGTATCGAAGCTAGCATGCAGACCAAGGAGGAGGCGAAACAGAACGTGGACGACCTCAATGATACCGTGACTAAGTTAACTAAGGAGTTCAATGAGAAGCTCGAGGATAAGATAATCCAGGTATAGACAGTTGTGTAAAGTCCATGACACCTGAAAGCAAGAGCCAGCGCGGTTGTGGAGGCCCAGCGATCACAACAGCAACAGAATACTGACATTTCAATCTGCATGAACGCGTGCTGTGAACGCTCCTGCCGGGCACGAGGGGGCACAATTTGTTAACATCGCCCCGTCCTCCTTCCTTGGTTTCCTTCTCCTCCCCCTCTTCCTTCCACGCATCCCTCCACCCTCCCAGTCTTTGTCCCCCTCCCCTTTCGTCCCCCTGCTACGCTCCCTGACCCACGCCCTTCCCTGCTGCTCAGACTTTCACTTTACAGGTGCGCTGTGAACGCTCCTGCTGGGCACGGGGGGGCACATTTTGTTAACATCGCTCCGTCCTCCTGCCTTTGTTCCTTCTATTCCCCCTCTTCCTTCCACGCGTCCCTCCACCCTCCCAACCTTTGTCCCCCTCCCCTTTCGTCCCCCTCCTACGCTCCCTGTCCCACGCCCTTCCCTGCTGTTCAGGCTTTCACACTACAGGTGCGTAGGACAGCGTACCATTACTCCATGCTGTCCCGAATCAGGTGCCGAGAGGGGCAAGTTGCGAGGGGCGCGATCACTCCCAAGGGGGGCTGGCGTGCCAGACGCGAGCTCTGCCGACGCCCCGATCCAGGCGCAATGAGGAACTGAAGAGTACATCTTCTAGCACACTGTGCATAGCGTTGGGGTTCGGGGGTGCACCAAAACATTGACCCCCAGGTGGCGAAAGCCAGGCCGTGGTTTTGCGCCGCCCCTTCTGAGGCCCTGAGAAGGGCCATACACACCTCCGAAGCAATATGTATCACTTGCGCGAAGCCTCTCCCGCGCACCTGAGCAGCCCTTCCGGCTGTCGTCTCCGAGGATGGCCGAAACCAAGCCAGGGAGAGTTCAGACACCGTGGGGGACGTACCACGTTACTGGCCTTTTCGCCCATTCATAACACTCATCCCCCATGCGTTAAGATCCCCAGAAACCATTTGACTCGGAGGATTGGTTTCTGCCATCCTCAAGACTCTAAGGATGAGACCTCCTAGAGCCCTTGCAACTCCCATTCTGCATGGGCATGCTGCGTTGCGCAGCGGGTGAGTGGGAAACCGCAACTACCCTGACCAGGGTTCTGATGGTCGCCTCATCCTTAAAGATGGGTTCTAGGTGCCCTCAAAGCCTATAGCGTACCTGGCAGTCCTCCTCCTCCTCCTCCTCCTACTTCTGGGCACCGCTGTCACAGCCGTCGCTGCCCCCGTCGCAGTCGACGCCGCCGCCGCCGCCGTCGTCGAGGCTCGAAGCTTGAGGTTCGAAGTTCGAGGTTCTGGTCAAAACTTGCTCACGAACAGTCCCTGGATCCCGCTCCTGAGTCCACCCCGTCCATTTCTCCAAGCCGCGTCCAGCTGTGGCGACAAGACCCTTTAAAGACACCCAAAGACCTCGAAACTGCCGCCACCACCGCCGCCACCGCCTCTTCCTCTTCCTCCTATTCCTCTTCCTCCTCCTCCTCCTCCTCCTCCTCCTCCTCCTCCTCCTCCTCCTCCACCTCCTCGAGGCTCGAGGATCCAGAATCGAGGACCGCAGTCGAAGAACGAGGATCCGAAATAACGACGACGTCGCTGACATCGTCAACGAGGGCCCCGGACCCTGCTGCGGCGGCCCCCATCAGAAGCCCCCAGCCTGGCTGGCCGGCGCCGCGGCGTGGTCGCCCGTCGGGGCCACCTCGAGGGCCCCACCAGCCACTCCAACTACACCCCCGCTCACTTCCACCTCCCTCCGTCCTCCTCCTCAGACGTTCTGCTCCATCCTGATCCAGCTCCTCATCATTTCCTCCTCCAAACTGCTCCACTCTGCTCCATCCTGCTCCCCCACCTCATCCTCTTCCTCCTACTCCTCCTCCGCTTCCTCCTCTTCCTCCTCTTCCTCCTCTTCCTCCTCATCCTCCTCCTCCTCCTCCTCATGCTCGTGCTCGTCATCATAATACACATGCGCATTGAACTATCGGCCTACCTGCAACATGTCGTCCTTCCATCATCATCATCATCATCATCATCATCATCAGCATCATCATCATCATCATCATCATCATCATCATCATCATCATCATCAGCAGCAGCAGCATCATCATCATCATCAGCATCATCATCACCATCACCATCATCATCATCATTATCATCATCATCATCATCCACATCAGCATCATGAACATCATCATCAACAGCAGTATCAACATCAGCGGTACCATCAGTAACTGCATTATCATTAGCAAGCTCATCATCATCGTCATCATCATCATCATCATCATCATCATCATCATCATCGTCGTCGTCGTCGTCATCATCATTATCAACATCACCATTTTCGTCATCGTCATCATCCGAATCATCATCGGCATACACATCATCAGCACCATCGCCAGCATCATCATCATCATCGTAACCATCATTGTCATCATCATCATCATCATTATCACCATCATTAACATCATCAACAGCAGCAGCAACATCATAAGTATCATCATCATCATCATCGTAATCATCATCATCATCATCATCATCGTCAGCATTATCATCATCAGCATCATCATCATCATCATCAGCAGCAGCATCATCAGCAGCAGCATCAGCATCAGCATCAGCATCAGGAGCATCATCATGATCATCATCATCATCATCATCATCATCATCATAATCACCGTCATCGTCATCATCATCCTCATCCTCATCCGCATCCTCAGCATCATCCTCATCATCGTCAGCATCACCATCATAACCATCATCAGCATCATCATCATCATCATCATCATCATCATCATCATCATCATCATCATTAGCATCGTCATCATCAGCATCATTATCATGATAAACACCATCACAACCATGGTCCTCAGCATCATCATCGTCGTCATCATGCTACTCATCATCATCAGCAGCAGCAGCATCATTACCAACAGTAGCATCATCAGTATCAGCATTGGCATCACCATCATCATCAGCATCGTCATCATCAACATCATCATCATCAGCATCGTATTGTCAGTGCTGTTCTTTTTGCTCGGACCGCGCGGCGGTCAAACTGCGGGCGCAGTCCCAGGGCCCTAGGACTAGGGCCAAAACGGCGGCGGGCAACATGCACGCCACAAAACATGAAAGGTATGTGCATCATGCTCACAAGGCGGCACGGGCGGCAGAGGGGCAGGGGAGTGCACTCTTCACACTGGGTGAGTACAATGCTGCCCCGATTCCGCCTCCCACAAGCGCGAAACGCTGCACGCGGCCACCGCCTATACCGGCCCACAGGCCGAAACACCTCAAGCAAAGTGCGGCCTGAGGCTCAAAATATAAAATATGAAATATGAATGTCTAGACTCACTAGTCCAGACTGTCGTCTCGATGTGCGTGCGAATATCACCGTAGCCCTCACTAGGTCCATGCAGTGGCTGCAACAGGACCTCACGGGCTCGCAGGCCCTGGAACGGCGGCCCGACGCTGGGCCTTCCGCCCCTTGGCTCTCTCACGCTGTCCGCGGCGCAGCCGCAGACGGTCTGCCCCCTCATCCTCCTGTTCAGCAGTAGGCACCATGCTGAACAGTCCGTGGCGGGCGAACTGCGATAGCACCTCGTTAGGCTGCACGGCCTTCGTCAGCACGTCCGCCAGCATGCGGCTATTGGGCAGCCACTTGACTTGAACTTGATGGCCTCCTGCTCGATCAAATCCTCGGCCACCAACAAGTCGATGAGGGTCTGCCGAGACACCGGCATCGAGCCGATCTTGGACGTGTGATCGTAGAGCGACTTCGCATCCGTCACCAGCGCCCCCGGAACCTTCAGCACCAGCCTCCAGTCCCCTTGCAAGGGCGGCCCCCCATGCAAGACTGCCTCAATCAGCAGCCTGAGGTAGAGCTGCCGATCCAAAGCCACGGACATAGCTGCAGACTCCGCGGCCATCGTAGATCCAACAACTCGTGTAATAGTACTACTCTGGATCTCCACTTGACAACACACAGCTAGCTCCTTCAACACTCGGGTATCCGCAATCATACTCATGAACCCCATCTGGATCTTACAGCCGGGTTCCTTCGCAAACGAAGCGCCCATAAGCGTGAGCACCTGCAAGCGCTCGATGTCCACACGGCGGATCCGGGGAGTCGCAAGACCTCTCTTGTCGTAGTCCTGAAGCCGGTCGATGATGTCATTGAGCACTCGCAGGCGCAATAACCTCCGACCTCTCGGATCCTTCTGCGCGAGCGCCGACACACTGCACGCGAGCTGTGGCACCACACGTGCGACAGGCCAGCGCACCTTCTGGAGCAAGCTCCGGAAGTCGCGGTGCTCTTCGGGAGTCATCTCCCGCTCCTCGTCGCCCCCCCTTGCAAGGGGGTGCTTTGTCAGCTTGCCGATGTACTCGTGCATGCTGATCTCGATGTGATCGGGGTGGCGCCACCACTCCTCCCCGAGATAGGCGACTGCCTCCTTGTCATTGCCCTCCTTCCAGTGCTTGATGTTGAAACGCCTGTTGATATTCGCCTTCACCTTCTGGCACTGGGGGTCGCGCGGGTCCCCAAACAGCATGCCGTCGTCGACGCGCAAGGTCAACATAGCAATCAACTTGCCGGTCGCCCGATAAACGAAGACAGCCCGAGCACAGCGAAGCTCCACAAAGCCGACCTCGTCCGTCAGCACCTGGCGGGCTCGGAGATACCACAACCGAGGCGCCTCCGTCAAACCGCACGCCCCTTTCAGCAGACGAAGCAACGCATAAGGCCGCACAGCCGGCCATCCAGCGCCGTCGACGGCCGGAAGCCCGCCCTTAGGAGCCCTCACGTACAGCTCCCGCTCCAGCTTCAGCCCGGACAGGAACGCAGTCGCTACGTCGAAGCACTCGAATGTCCAATCCATCGCCATTGTGATAGACGCACACACCAGCACGGCCAAAGGGGAAGTAGCAAGCGAATCCGCCCTGAATAAACCAAGCTGCGGGTCGAGATGGCCAGGGATGATCAAGCGCGACTTCGCCTCCAACTCCGGCCCTCGCCCCCGGTTCGTGCGAACCGAACGCATGGGCACCGAGATGATCTTATCCTTCGGAATGCTCTTCTCCTCCTCCTCGGTGACCAGCTCGACTGTGTTGTTGGCGATCCATTGCCGCCACTCGGCGGCATCGGCCTCGTCGAACTTAGCCTTCTCGTGCTGGTCGAAGTGACGTGGGTCTAGCTCCTTCGCGTTCTGCTTCATCACGAGTGCGAAAACGTCGTGCTCGTACCGCGCCTCCTGCAGCCATGCGTCATACACAGATGACACGTTGATCCACTCCTCGTAAGTCATCGGCTGCCGTACAAGACCCTCCGGAGTGTCCAACTAGCACACCCCCTGTGCCTGAGCATCCGGCTTGTCGTGGTAGAAGAGCGTGAGACCAACCCAGCTGTCCTCCATGCGCTCGTTGGCACGGCTCGCGCCGTCGCCCTTGTAAGCACACTGGCCCGTGGCGGAGAGCATCACCGACAGGCGATTGCACTCCCGGTGGCGGTCGTGATCATAGAGTCGCCGCCGTGGCTCTCGATGCACACGGACTCCTCGCACGACCTTTCTGAACGAGCGTGGAGACGCCATCCAAGGCATTCTGGTCGAACCACTCCTGGGGCCCCGAGTGCACCACAGCGTTCATGGCCACCTCGCGGAGGGCCGGCAAGCCACTCGTAGGGGCACCCTGCAGACGCGATCTCTTAATGCAACTCGGCACGTCATCTACCAGAAACTTCCGCTTCCGCTCGAGCTCGAAATCGTCTCTGGGAATCGGCGGCACCGAAAGGCCGCCAGAGCCCGATGCTCCCGGAGAAGCTTCCGGGCACGTCCCAGAGGACATCCGGCCTGGAAAGGAACGAGACCGCGCCCTCCTCGGAGGCGGAAGCTGCGGCAACTGCCCCTGCTCAGGTGGCTCCTCCTCCTTAGCCTGCGCCTCAATGGCGTCCAGGGCCCTCGGATCCACGCGAGGCTGCCTGGACCCTTCGAGCTCACTATGTCGTTCACGCTCCTTCTTCAGGAACGTCTTCTTCACCCTCTGGACCTTCACCTTGGGCGCGACGTCCACGATGTCGTGATAGGCGCGACCATCTCGCTGCTGCGTCAGCCGCACGTCCGTCTGGATGGACTCCGCAGCCGCGGCCTCCTGGGAGGAGGCGTGCCGGAGCTGCTCACGAGCAACGAGTAGCACGTGACCACGCCATGATAAGTAATACCGGCTGTTGGATTCCTTCGCGATCACGGTCGCAGGACCCCGCCACCTTTCAGGCTCTTGCCGACGACGTCCCTTGAACGGATTCGGTGCCCAGAAATACACCCGCGATCCTGGGCACAGATCGCCGACGACCGTCGGCGCCTGTCGCAGCAGCGCCCTCCGCACCTTGTCCGTCGCGTCGCGCTCCAGCAACATCATCTTGGCTGCGGTGCGGATTTGAGAAGAACGCCAAGCTATGCCCTTAGCGCCGAGGACCGACACGAGAACCTCGTCGTCGCCCCTGTTGGTCACCTCCGTATAATTCAAGATCCGCCCGAAGACAGCCTGCTCCGGGGTCAACCCATTGCGGCTGATCGTCGAATTCTTCGCGTTGACGATGACAGCCAGGGCCACAGTAGACATCGACTTGCCCTGGACGTGGAACTCGTGCACCACCTTGCCCCAGATAGTGCCGAGCAATCCTCCGTGGCGCTCTGCCAGGCCATGCTG